CATTTGATAGACTTTGCGTTGGTCCCCCTGTTGGGCAGCATTCTCCGTGAGTCGGAGGAGGTCCAGGATTTCTTGGCGTTTCTTCGCTTGGCAGGCTTTTTTGGCCTTTTTGGCCTCAAGGTGATAGCGGATGGCTGCTCTCCACGCAGCGAACATGCGTCCCGTGCGTTTGGCCTGTACCGCGGTGTATCTGGCTTGCCGCCGGAGTTGCCAGAGATGCTGAATAACTTCGTTATGTTGGACACGCGGCTTTTCAACGGCCGGGAAGGTTTGCTGACAGGCCTGAAGAAGCACCTGGTTGATGTCAATTTTCTGCGTAGGGGAGCTGGCAGCGCTCTGCTCTACCCTTTCGGCAACCGCATCACGCAGCTTCTGCGCCATCGTATTGTGACAGCGCGCTGCCTCGTCCAATCCCGTTTTATCAAGGGGTATGGCTGCAGCCTTGCGCGCAGGCAGCAAAAAGTGATTCATGACTCTGAGGTTGGCCTCGAGTCCGAAGTGTCCAATGTGAAGCCGCCATGTGCCTATGGGCGGTTTGGCGACTCTGACTCGTTTCGCTTGGGCATCCGCTGTAGTGAGTCTCGTGAATATAAAGTCTATCTGGCTCGTTCCGGCCTTGTTGTTGGGGGCTTGATTGAATTGAGTGGGTTGTGGTGGGCCGCACCATGTATTGAGGGCGGTGAGTCCGTGGCTCTCTAAAAATGTGTTAAGAGCATCTGGGTCCAGGGCATCAGCTCCTGTGTGAAAAGGTGTGTTGCAAGTGGACCTACCTACGTGTGGCACGGCTGGCTTGACCTCGGCCTGAAAGTCACCAGCAATCACCAGCGTGGCACGCAAAGGGATACCGGCAACTGCGCGACCCAGTTTGCTGAGAAGGGCCTGTCTTTTGTCACGCAGGACAGTCGGGTTGACTGTGAAGTTGTGCGGAAATTGGTAGCAATTGAAGAGCTCAACCCTACCCTGGGGAGTCTGAAGTTGTGTGCGAAGAATGCGACCCGGCTGGATCTCTTCATGGCGAATGGTGTCAGCCCTGTGGCGTGGATGTATCAAGGTGAGAACACCGTCCGCTCGGGCCTTTGTGCCAGAGTGTATGGCTCGCCAGCCCTGGACAACAAATTCTGAGGATGTCGACCAGTGAGTTTCTTGGAGGCATATGACGTCGTACGGGGCCTTCAGGAGATATTCCTTTAGCTCTTGCCATAATAAAGTCGAGAGCGAGCCAACATTCAACGAGAGCAGGCGGAGTCTGTCAGAATATTTTGTGCCACCTCTGGGACCTCGCCTATCGCTCCCGGACTGAGTCCTCTTGGCACTAGCCGTGTTGATGTGGCTGAGTTGCTTGGCCGTGATCCACTTGCCTTTGTACCAGGTGCCGCCTTGGGCAGTAGCTCTTCTGGCAGCACGCCGTATGGCTCGTTTAGATCCCACCGTGTGTTCAGTGGGAGCAGTGGCTGCAGCTTGGGTCAGCCTCCATTGCATGCCCACAAGAGCCACCATGAACAGCCAGAGTGGCAGGGGAGGCCTCGGGCCTCGACCCTTTCGCCATGTTTGGGGTTTTGTCTGACCGGTTTTGTGGGAGCAAGGGGCCGTGGTGTCGGCACCCTTTCCTGCATGGTCAATGTGCTGTGCCATTGCAGGAGAGTGGCGCGGCGAATCTTGACATGGTGTCTGTGTGCTTCCCTGCGTAGTAATCCGGTGTTGGGTCGCGCCACCCGCCATCTTCCCTCCTTGGGAAGGCCGTGGCTTACTACCACTGTTAGGTTCTCCCCCCATGGGGGGCCCAGGGGGAACCCTCACCTCACCCAGCC